TCTCTCAAAAGGGCTTGTTTCTCTTATATACACATATACTGTACACGAAATCTAATATTCAGCTCTGAAAGGTCAGGGAAGAGATCCCCAAGGTTGGGAAACAGTTTTAGATGGTTAACATGCATTTTGTGCAGACAGCATGAGGGGCAATTATGTGGCAGTGAGGCAAGGTGGCATCAAAGATATATAAAAAGTAATGAGGATTTGCAAAGTTGATATATATTAGGGAGGGGAGTAGTTTTGTTTACTCAGTGCTGCTCTTGAGAAAGCTATGATCTGCAGGCTTCCATTGGGCTACAGTTCAACAGGCTTTACATGCAGAAGGTTCCAGGTTTAATCCATGATGTTTGCAGTTCAGATACACCAACTTGGAAAAACCTAGATTTTATAGCACAACAGACCAGAGGTCTGATTCAGTAAAAGACATATTCATGAATGCTGAAGCTGCCAAACATATGAAAATCAATGGACTGCATTTACAAGGAAGAGGAACATTCAGGTGTCGACACATTAATTTTGTAAACTGCACACTTCCATGCAATTTCATTCATGTAAATAATCTTTCTAAATTTCCTTAATATGTAGACAAGTTAAGAACACCTATGTTTGAAAGACCAAAACCAAATACTTCCGAAATCTTAAAAATGGTATTACAGTACTTTGGCCTAAATCAAGCTGATAGTCCCAACTAGATAGACCTACTGAACCAACTGCTAAATGGGAGTCAACACAAGAGTTATTAATTCAATATAATAAAATGGTAGTATTATACCAAGTTCATTCTGACTTATGTCAAAAACTACTGCCATTTCCTAGAATGGGCTGACGTTAGCTAGGTCTAACACTTTGATTCATCTTTTGCCATATACATACTACAGTATTTGAATTCAGGTTCATTTGCTCTTTTTTCAATATTTGCATTTGCCAAAGTGTTTCATTCATAGTATGCTCCTACAGTTTTAACCTTTATGGAACAGTCCCACACTGCAATACAAGCTGTTGTTAGCAACAAAAAGCATACTGGTTCTTGGAAATTAAACTTCAATGAAAAGGGGGAGTTTGCCTGGCTTATCAGTTGCTTTATGCAATGGTACAGCTATGAAGTAATTAAAAACAAGAATAAATACAATATAATTGTTAAGAGGTCACAAAGTTGCACCAGATGGAGGAAATGAGAAGAATTGTGCAGCTCATATCTAGCTACATATGTCACAGGTATTAGCTAGCCAATAAGTATCTATGATCTTGCATAACCACATTTCACACTGGACTTCCAATCCAAACAAAATATCTTACCATCACAAATGGGGGATGGACAAAGTTTATTTCTGCAGTGAGAAAACACTTTATTAGCCTGGAAAGACTAAAATTCAAAACAATATCAAGGTAGCTCTGGCGGGAAACATCTTCACAAAGACATTTGGATCACCCACAACAGCATGAGGGAAATAGACATTACCTGGAAAAACCTTTTACTCCATATTTTAACACAAATACATTTTTAAAACTTCCAAGGATCACTTAAATCAGTGGTTCTTAACCTTTTTGAAAGAAACGCCCCCTTGAGCCATTGAGGAAGTTATCATCGCCCCCCTCCCCGCGGTGATCTTTATTTA